TGCAGATCGGACAGAAGCATTTCACACATTTCAAAGACTTTTATTGATTTAAACAACTCAAATGTCTGCAGAGGATACACAGCGTTTCTCTGAAAGCTGTGATGGAGCAAGAAGGACCATCCTCCGACCATGTTGCTGGTTTCACTGGGTTTTTATTTCTTTCAGGTTCGGTGTTTATGCTTTTCTATACTTTCAAACGTCTCCTTCACTCTGCTGTCACTAATAAACAAGTGACCCAAAGACACGAGCAGCTGAAGTGTGCGCAGGAAACCGGGTCAGCACGGACTCGAGGAACCGTCAGTGAGCTGGACCTGCAGGCCGGCGGACGACAGCCGGGTTGGCAGGGCGTACCTGCAGTTAGTTCCCGTTTCCTCTCGCTGACCTGAACCTGCTTCTGCTTCCGGTTTGGATCTCCTGTCGAGCCCAACCCGGCACACGATTCAACATCCGGCAGCTCCTGGAGACGAAGCTCAGCTTTCCCTCTGCGACGTCCTCACGGACAGGAACCAGAGAACCGATGTAGAACAGAAGAGCCTCAGAGCGAGGTCCTGACGTGATAACGGATCAAATCGAACGCTCCCGGCCTCTGAGCTGCTCCGATCTTCAAACACGTGAGGATGGCGGGTTGGACAGGCGAGTGCTGGAGGCAGGTGAGGTCAAAGGTGTGCCGCTTCACAGTGGAGGTTCATAAATAAAATCTAAATATGACGAAGAGCAAACTTTCCTGAATCAGCTTCATTCAAACTACGAACTCAACAGTTTATAATCACGGAAACGCTTCCAGGTCTCAATGTGATCACATGACATCCACAAAGAAGTCGCCGGGGTTTCCCATGGCCATGCGGAAGGACTGGCGGGAGGCGGAGACTCCAGGCTGGGCTGTTGGAAGGTCGTGGTGCTGACCTCTAGATGACGGCAGGAGGTCTTCAAAGCAGCTCGGAGGTCGCTGGACGCTGCTGTCACTGAGAGGCTCCGCCTCCAGACGCTTCTCAGGAGAGGCACTTGCTTCCTGTTTGGAGTCTCTCAATTCGCTCCCTCCTGCTCCTTCCTCCTGATTGTCGCTGCAGTTTGAGCCGCTGCTACAGCTTCCTGTGAGGTCACAACAAACATGACATCATTACTTCAGACATCATGATGTCAGTCTTTTCACAGCGACCATATTTGGACAAGAGCAGCCAGCTGATC